ATAAAAAGGCGTGATGTTATGTTATGTTATGTGGCTCAACCGATTTTGATGCGGTTTTCAGTAACGTGTTTGTTATACTTAGGATAAGGTTTTGGTATATTAATTAACCGACTTCAAAAATAGAGGGGATTGTAGTCGGAGTTCATAAGTACCTAATTTATAAAAGTAGATAATATTTGTACATTTTGAAATACTTTTAAAATACCGTGGAACTGCATTTGGTGGTGTTTTCAACAGATCTTATCATAATCTTATTGCTTCGCAGGCTGGTTGGAGATTGCAGGTTGGACTTTTTTTGTCTATGTTAAGTACGTAATGTCTTCTTACGCCCACGAGACGTATTTTCTTTGTCTTTACCAAACAGCTCAAATATAGGTACCTTCTAATGGTTTTAATCACTTCTCTCATTAATCAAGAAGAAGTGCATTAATATAATACCTCTTTGTAATGTCAGAGTAAACATTTTTTTATATATGAGAGTATCACATTCAGGAATTGTAAACAACTGCCTTTGAGTAAAGAAACATTCTAGTTTGCATTACTTTCTCTGAAATTAAAAACTGCACTCTTCATGTTTCTTAAAGCAAATATTTTGTGTAGTTGTAGGGACTTTTTCATATTATTTTTATTATGTTTTATTGTTTTTATTTTTATTATGTGTGTTATTACTTAAATTTAGAAATAATCATAAGAGTAAGACCATAGGTACGTCGTTGCATATGCAACTGCCAAGTATCTATGTTATAGACAAAATGTTTAGCTTCTCTTAGTACCTAATACGAATGTGTTAAATTAAAATTAAGCAAGTTAATCTTCGGTATTAGGTACTAGCTTCTAGCAGCGACTTTGCCCGCCATCCCATGGGATAAAAATTAGCCTATATGTTATTCTATACCATAATCTACCCCTGTTCCAAATTTCATCATAAACCCTTCAACCACTTTTGAATGACACACATACAAACACATACATCCTCACTAACTTTCGCATTTATAATATTAGTAAGTTTACTGTCGAAAGACTGAAAAGCAAAAGAACTTTAAAGAACACACATTCTTCATCCATTCAGAAAAAATCTTTCACATTCTTCATGCTACACTAAACGTATTTCCCATCATAATTTCTCACAAGTTACCTTCAATCATAATGTAGCATGATTTTAATCTAACTTCACGTCCCTCTCACCATTGATTCAAATGAGATCTGACTTTACTATGCTTTTCCTGTGGAAATACTAAAAAAAACTCAATTCTGTTACCTCGTAGTCGTTGCAACATTAATGGAATCTCTAGATGGAATCCCTCACCCAACCAGTCCCGTCTTTGCCTTAATAAGAAAACTTTTCTCATCGATTGACGAACTTTGTCAACGAGAAAAAATTACGCCTTATACAAACATCTGGAACGTTCCATTTGTTGTTTTGTTTTTTATTTGTAATGTTATTCCAATTGGCGATTACAAACTTATAATTAGATAATTAATTACAAACTTATAATCAGTGGTGTCTAGATAATCTTAGAAAGTACATATAACTCGGAAAAAGTCACATTGGTACTTGCCGTTGGTAGGTTTCGAACCCGCACCCTCATGCATGAGAAGCGGGCATCTTAAACCCCCGGGCCACCACGACATTTGTGATTGGTAGATAAATATTTTGTTATTAGGTTCATTATTATGACCATTCTCATCATATCGACTGTAAGACGTTTAGTACTCAACTATTTCATTATTGATCATAACATAATATCACGCCTTTTATCCCCGAACGGGTAGCCAGAGGTGCACATTTACGGCGCTTAATGTATCTGTACAATGTAACACTCAGATTTCAGTATTTGTGTTATAAGTCCCATGTAACAGGGGGTGAGCCTATTGCCATATACTGGGCACATTTCTAGACTCCGTACTACCTACTACTGGGATTAAAAAAATACTTTGTCCAACCCGGAAATCGCGAACCCGAGACCCCTTGCCATCGGTTAACGAGTCAGTTTATTATTGATCATTGTAATTTAACTTTATGTTCTCCGTTTTCTAATTCCTTATAATATTGCTACGTATTTACACCCACTTTTTACTATTTATGTTATGAGTCCTATGTAATAGAGCCTAAAACCCTATTGCCATAAACCGGGCACAATTCCAGTCTCCGTGCTACTACTGGGAGATATTAAAAAAAACCAGTTATACTTTTCCCGACTCGGGAATTGAACCCGAGACCCCTTTGCCCGGCAGTCGCACTTACGACCACTTGGCCAACTAGGCAGTAATTTTCATTGGATCCATTTTCATGGACGTATAACGTCTACATGATACAAAAAGCAAGCCTTAAGATAAACTATGTTTATTATCATCATCATAATTATCAGCCACAGGACGTCCACTGCTGAACATAGGCCTCCCCCAATGACTCCCAGATAGGCCGGTTGGAAGCGACCTGCATCCAGCGGCTCTCTGCGACCTTAATGAGGTCGTCTGTCAAATAAACAATAAACAAACAAATTTAACAAAGTGGAAACTGTTGTTTTTTCTTCACCTCATGATATCTTCCGAGAGACAGATCCAAGACAGTTATTCATGTCCCTGGGACGCGCCGGACTTCAACGTTCCGGTGTTTTGATGGTTATACAACCAGTAGATATAGATATACATACGAGTATCTACTGTAAATTCTGGCTTACAGGAGTTGCAGCGTCAGCATCCTAATAAAAAAATGGGAAACCGAGTAAGAGAAAAATTTTAATAAAAGATTTATATTTTTAATATTGCCAATTATATATTATCTTAACGACTTAAGTAAAATTTATTTTCAGAAATAGGTACATCTTAATAGAATACACATTTATTTCACTTTATCCAATTCAGTTAGCCCAAAAGCTAATTCCTATGAAATATATTTCAGAGCGAGCGGTTCTAATTCACCAGGACCAGTCTACACGGTCCTTACAATTTCCCGGCGAAAATTCGCCTTACCTGACTGCGTTTGAGTTGAAATCAATTAGTCTGCCAATCGCAGTTCCGTAGCGTGTTGCTAACAGAACTGCAGCCACAAATCAAGGGGAGAACGTTTCAATAGCTTGGATTGTCTGTACTAAAGAGAATTGTTCGGCCATTGTGATTTTCTGACTTTTACCTTGAAGGAATTTGGTAGAAGAGCATTTTTGTACTAGGTACCTTATTTGTATTGACTGTTTGATTTTTCTTTGCAAGGAGATACTAGGATTTTTTGTAGATCTCTGCTTCACATAACAACGGCGTGAAACAAAGCTTGCGTTGTATTTCATCGTGTGTGTGAGGTTACTGGAGGCCCAGTTACCTTCCTCCCCAATCTCAATAATCGCCGAATCCCTAACAATCCTCAAATTCCTAATCCCCAAAAAGCCAGTAACGCACTTGTAACGCCTCTGGTGTTTCGGGTGTCGATTGCTTACCATCAGGTGGTCCGTCTGCTTGTTAACCGGCTTATTCCATAACAAAGGCAAACGAATAATTCCAGTAGTAGATAGTACTGGAATTATTCGTTTATCATGTTTCTTTTTACTTTAGCTTTCTATTTTTAGTGCTTTTAAATTATAGCTAGACATACTTATATTTTAAACACATGAAATCTATTTATTCAGCTGTTATTAATATTGCACTATTATCAGCATCAGATTAACTCGATGATTATTATAATTAAATAAAACGAACCTTCTTACTGTGTCGTGAAAACATTTATTTTTAACTTATATTTATAAATACAGTCGTTTGTAATATAATACACGAATTGTTTAATTAAATCGATGTGAAGCGATACACATACAACTAACGAACAATATCTTAAATGCTTGTTGGTATGTCATGTTGTATACAAATTTAACTGTTTCACTGTTTTTCTATTCCGAATAAAATTATTTGTAATATGTAACAAATTCAATAAAAATATCTAACTAAATTTTATTTTAATACAAGTGAATCTAACGTGCGACAAGTGATAAAAATTATACACGTTTCAATTCGCTAATACAATAATTTTTTTCTACATTACATAAGCTAACAAAAACAGTAAAACAGTGAGAGACTAGTAAATTAAAAATTACAATTACTGGTAAAATTACAGGTATTTCACTACATCTACTTTCTACTATAAATACAAAGTATGTATAGCAAATAAATCAGACTTTTATTGTATTATTTCGAATGGCACGAGATTTGTATCGAAGGACCAAATTGGTCCTTCGGGTTTGTTGCACACGATGTCACATACAATAATGTATGCTACACTGTAAGTAATAAGCTACAATATTATTCATTTCGTGGCATCAGATCGTTAAAAATATTACAAAAGGCATTAATACTACGTATGCGGTTAGAAAGACCTTTAACTAATCTAGAAGTCAAGTATATGGACCAAGTTTTGCTTACAAGAGTAATAATATATAATATTAAATGTAGCATTAAATACATTGTCATATAGAAAGTGATACACGATGTATATAATTCGAATATTATTCAGTAAAATATAAAATTTTATTGTCAAAATTTGGAAATAAATGCAGACATGACATGCGACAAGATTTTTATGCAAATACATATTATGAATACGAAATTTTAAACGAACGAGTATTTTATTGAGATAGACGAATAGGTACGAATCATAAAAGCGATTATTTTTCTATCGTTCATATTTTTTTTTGCTTTCGTAGTGTAGAATTCAAATGGGATTTTTATTTGCTTACGAAATCCCGACCACGTACATTTTTTCGAGCCACGTGTAGGAAAGATAGATTAGAATACAAAGCTTGATATATTTTATATTTCGAATATTTTATTATTAGACCTTAAGCCAAATAAACTTTAAATAAATAAAAAAAAAAAAAAATAAAATAAAATAAAATAAATTTATTTCAGACATACTGGGTCCATACATTTACAGTTTAATATTATGAAATATATATAATTCTTAATTAATTTAATTTAATTCATTTAATTTAATTTATTACATTATTACACCGCACTATCAATCATTGTTATTTTTTTATATTGTCAATTTAATTAATGTCAATTTAGGTAAAGAAACTTTAACTGAGGATTAATTATTTTAAATATTTAACAATTATTCCATACTAAGAACTGTCAAATGTCAATGTTATTTTACAGTTAAAAAAGAGCTGATGTTTGATAAATCGGCCCTAAATAAATCTATTCCGAAACTTATTTTTTTATTTCTTATTCAAAACTAACCAGTTTCAAGTTAGTAATGTTGCCATGTCTGCAAAAATCAAACTACAGAAGTGCTTAAGTAAAAATCAGTCAATTACATTTCCGTAAAAATATTTCGCTAGAAAGAAAGAATTAAGAAATACTTTAAAATTGACTTAAGATAAAAAATAATCCTCTCGAATAATAATTATATACAGTCTCGAATTAATGTCTCGAAATAATCACAAACATTGGTATTCTGTCTAGAAACTAGAATTAAATCAAGTAGAATTACAAATCGCCTCACTTTTATAATGTTGGTAATTACGTTACTTGTACAGAAGTAATTTACTAAGAGTTTAAAATGTTTTTCGTATCAGAATCCGTTTATTTAACACATTAAACGCCATGGGGGTCACCGACGTTCGCGAAGGAATTGCTTTCAATAGTTTTCTATTGGCATTCAAAACCTTAATAACGTATCTGACATTTCATTTGAATAAATAATTAATGCAAGCGTTTTTCCTCCTAACTTAAACTTACAAAATTATAATCAATATAATTTATACAAATAAATATAATATAATTCCATGTTTTCTCGATACGACGCGACGACTCGTAATCCTACATTTAAAATTTGCCCATTGATACATTTTACAAAATTTTATTTACAAACACTCTAAGCGCAGTACAAAGCGCGACCTAATATATTTCACTATACATACAGTAATACGAATGTAGGTATGTAGTAACTTTCAGTGGCTTAAGCATATACGCTTAGTTTAATAGGAATCTCACAAACACCAAGCTCTGACTTGATTTTTATTAATCTCATTTCAAAATCGCCCTCAGAATTTGGTTATTTTTTTTTCAAAATGGCCGCAACAAAACAGAATGGAACGACAAGAGATTTCGATTCGTTCGAAGTTCGAAATTATCGTACAACGAAAGAGTTGTTATTCCATTAGCTATCCATGGCAAAATGGCGTTGCCTTTAATTTTTTTAATTTACGAAGAGATTTATTTTTAAATTGCCAATCTTTAGTGCCAAAAGTTTACATTTAAACATCTCCTCTTTAAATAATTTTCACATAAATTTTCAAGATAGCAAACAACGTCAATACAAATTATACGATTTTGAACCTTAAAAGCCGTTAGTGCATTCTGACGTGACACTGACGAACAATGACGTCACTCTTTAATTTTCTCTCAATGGTTGAGCAAATATTTCGTTCAGTAGTTGTTGGTATTCCTCCGCGTTGTAAAGGTAGTCGTCCTCATCAAGTATGCCCGTTGTATTGTATCTGTAATGCATTTTGTTAGTAAGTTTTTCTTCTAACTATTCCGTATTAGTAGTTTTGCATTTTTTATGTGCTATTTCTGTGGAAAGTTTGGTTTTGGTGTTGTGTACCGAACATACATTTTTATACACAATATTATATACAAAGATACATTGCAAAATTAACTAATTATCTATCTTAAATTATTGTAGATATTTTGCTTCATCAGCCGTTGAATTCTGTTCTATCTAAACAATTTTCTTCTTACCTTATTGTTTCTCGTTTTCTTCGAGAGGTTATTTCTGATGCTACTTCTACGCACAGCACAATAAAGTGACTACTGCAAGGATATCTGTAATTAAAATAACAAAGTGAAAACTCCTTTCTTTTAATTCATCATTGTTTTTTTCCAAGTAGCAGAAAATTAGCAGCGAATAAAGTTTCCTAATTCCTTGAACCCTTCTAACAAATTTCACTTCTGTTTCAAATTGAATTATCAAAATGGCTGCGAGGATCCCAAGTTTTAAGTCACTAAATTGAAAACGTGATTTTGTATTTTATACTTTAGGTGTTAGGACTGAAGGTTCTGTGTTGATAAACAGAGTAAACTAGCAATTAAAGGGGGTCGATACTAAGTTGGATGGGATTCTAATACATTTGGTTGACGCTTTAAGACTCAAATTCTAGAGGCAGTATTGTTTGAAGTTGCTGCCTGTTATGCTGGTGTATATTGTGTTTTATTTCCTCGTTATTGGAAATTTCTTGTCGAGCAATAAGTAAATAAAGATAAAATTGTAATGTAGTATTTCATAACGTAACATAACATCACGTCTTTTATCCCCGAATGGGTAGGCAGAAGTGTATAACTTACGGCACTTAATGCCACTGTACAATGCAACACCCACTTTTCACTATTTATATTATGAGTCCCATGTAACAGGGGGTGAGCCTATTGCCATATACCAGGTACAATTCCAGACTCAGTGCTACTTCTAAGATTTTTTGAAAAAGCCGACCCGTCTTGCCCGACCCGGGAATCGAACCCGAGACCCCTTGTTCGGCAGTCGTAATCGCGACCATTTGGCCAACGAGGCAGTCTATTGGGAACATTATTTTTAAGAGTTTTCTGTAACTGACATTATTGTAGGAGATGCTGAATTATACTCGCGTTGTAACGAAAGTTCAGTGATTAGTAAAAACATAAATGCTTACCTCTCCTGTGCCAGTAGTTTGTGGGAGTGTAGTGCGGACCCAAGGCCACGACTTGTAGGATCCCCGTTCTGCCACTCTTGACAGTAACTGTCCAAAGCGCGTTCACCATTAGCACGTGATCCATGCCAGATTACTTTCTGTGGCCTGTTACAATCAAATAATGTTACGAAGGAAAATTGTATTATTCGCTACCTACATTTTTGGAGAAAAACGTGAATACCTCTTTTAATTTTATAGCTTTTTGTTTTATTATAATTTTCAAAAAGAGACTTTAGTGAATAAGTTTATTTGATTTAAATGACTTTAACTGTATGGTTTTCATATTATTCTAAGATTATATTTTCGATAAATACACTTACAAAATTGGTACTACCACTTATCTATAAAACGAACTTTGGAAGAAACACTAGAATTAAACGAAAATTTGAGATGATTTTACTTACCAATGCGAGTCAGTAAGAACGTTTCTTCCATTGAAGCTGTATATCCTGGCTCCAGCTGCTAGCGCTCCATTGCCATCGAACATATCCGAAAATGACTTGAATAAAATTTCTCCTTGAGTGTTCACAACTGGAAGGTGACGATCTGAGTAACGAACTATTGAGTTCAAGTTTTGAATCCTAGAACAAAAATAGTTTCGTGAAATTTGGTGTCATAGTACACTTGATAATGCAAAATATTGCAATAAACATTTCATAATGTTCGAAGGAGATAACACTATTATGATGACTAAGAGAAATAAGATAATGAAACTTTGGGTCCTATTAAAGAAGACAAGGAACGGTCTATTTTCAAAATAAAGCTTCACTTGTCTAATCCAATAACTAATAGTCTAACGTAATCGTGCGATACATGACCGTCGCGGTTTTATACGGTTCATAAATTGTGTAGTTGACAAATGTAGTGGTTAGTTGCTGGTTTCATTTGCAACTAATATTGTTAGTATGTCATGAGGTTTGGTAATGTATTATTTGTTGCTTTGTTTAAATTCTAATGGACTAATTATTTTTAATTTGGTTACTTGCTATGCAGCTAAGAGTAGCATGTGTTTAATAATATTTCTGTATCTTGCGCGGTACACAATCATTCTTAGTCTTTCTGTACGTATTTCACTAATATTAGATAATCTTCATCTTCATCAATAAAATACTTCTGTACCAAAAGACGTTTAAGTTTGTTTCTCTGAGCCACTGTCAATTTATATTTAGATGTATTTATAATATCATAGTTAACTCTTGTTTTTGTGTGCTCTGTGCACACACAAAAAAAAATTAGAGTTTTTCAGATTTTGCTGTGGTATTAATTGGCGTTTTTGTGTAATATTACTTACTTGCTAGTCAATAAAGCTCTGAATGTGCCTCTGAATCCAGCACGTCTTCCTTGTCGGTAGCACGCATAATCAGCACGACGAATACCATGCATGTTGCCGTGCAACGGCTCATTTAATGCCGCTAAGTGAAGCTGGTGGTAAAATACAGTTGTTAGCATCTTTGATTTAAGGTGCAATTTTAAATGATTGAATACGAGTAAGTTTCTACTCTTGAGAATAAGTAAATAAAAACAACAATGAAAATTCCATAACATTACAACATCTAAAGAGTTGACTTACACTGGGTCCAGGTACAGGCGAACTTTCAACGAGATTAGATAACGAGGGCTTGTGTACCAAACTGGCGGCTGGCATTGGTGGAGGTGGGGCAGGTGCAGGCGTTGGGTGCGTCGGCGCAGACTGGGTTACTAATGACCCGAGCTGTAGGAGCAAAGTAATTTGAGTATTGCACTTTGTTAGTGAAAAAGATGGGTATCTTCTAGTTTAGCATTTTCCTAATGCTTCAACTATGCGATAACAGTACTTACAGTGTACAAATTGTACAGTAGGTAAATCAGTATTAATTTTATGGCCAATTCATTTAGTGTGAGAAACTATAACTAAAAATCTTATGATTCTCAAGAACTTTAATTTTTACTATAAAAAAATTTCATCTCATATCAGTAATTTAATAGGTAGGGTAGATGACTAATTTTTACTTTAATCTCCGTCTGGTACATTATTTAAAAACATTAGAAACGTATTTTTTATTTTCTTACGGAAACGAATAGTTTCGAAGATATATTGATTTGAAATATCGCACTTTTGAGTGATTCATACTCTAAAATTCATCTCCCACTCCTAAACTTTGATCCGTTTTATCTAAGTATTGTTTTCTTATACCTACAACAAAATAAAAAATACGTGTCTAATATTTTTTTCATCACCCAACAGACGGACTTATCAAATTTTTAATTTTCATACCCTGTCATCACGTTATCATGTTGAAAAAAAAAACTTAATCAATTTATCAAATAACTTTCTTTAATTATCAATAATCCCAACGGATACGAGATTGATTTGGCCTATCCAATCAAATTGTCAACTGAAATCTATCTTGCCATTCAATTTGTCCAAAATGGAAGCTCATGCCGTTGTTTGGACAAAACTCACCAGTACGTACTGCCAGCCGGAATTAACTTTGACAAACAGAGCTTGCTCTTCGACAACGTAAGCCAGAGCACCGACAGCACTCGATGACGCGAGCTGTGGACATATTGTTAGGTTACTAAATTGGATACGTAAAAAAGTTGCTTTTCAACACATTTGGTTTCACATTGGATTTTTTTTTTACTATTGTGGATGTATTTACAAATTGTCGAAATCTGACACAGATGAATCGAAACAATGTTGTGAGAATTTGACAGTGTAACATCCTGATGCAAGAAGGAAATGCATCAATTAAGCACCTAGGTAAGCGTTTAGTCGCACACGTATCTTCTTGATGTTTGACCGAAAGGGACCGACGCAGTGTTTAACGTAGCTTAAGATACGTATCATTATCATCATTAGCGACTTAACAATAGTAATGGATGTTTTATCATTGAAATTTGTCCTCTCAAAACACATAGAGACGAATCGAGAACCTCTTTTTCGGGAAGTCGGTTAAATACCTAAATACTTTCTTAAAAATGTTACCTTCAACATTTCCTCCGTAGTTTGGAACACCGCTGCTCCAGGAACTGATTTGTTGGGTTCTTCTGTATGATGGACGGCTGGATGTGATTGAACTGGTCCTGTAATGTAGCCCATACTTAGTAAAAAGCAAAAGTTATATTGCTTTAGTAGATATTTTTATTGCTTTAGTTTGCTGAATCAGACAAAAATTTGATCATTGTTTATAGCTTTCCAATTTCTTTTAACAAAATTGCTAGGCTTCTGACCCAAATCAATAATATCTAGAAAAGGAACAAAGTTAATACAGGTATGTTTTATAAAATCTAAAATTTGAAATCGCGATGAGTTGATATTAATTCGACTTATATGTAAGTACCTACCTACAGGTAGTAACAAGTAAATATTAATTTTGCTTACGTCACAAAGACAAAGTTCTTACTTCTATTGTGTATGTAGTCACCCATTATATCTATGTAGTGTACGTCAATTCGTTAAATTCCCTTTAGATACCACTATCAGGAATATTGATAAACACGGATTTGCTTAATTAGGTAAGATAATCGGTTTACATGAGAATCTATTTGCTATACAAAATGTTTTATTTGTTAATTATATAATATTCAATAATAGTAGAACAATAATTGTAACCTTTACAGTAACAGTTTACACATATCTTTAAAAAAAAAAGTCGCCTCACCCTAGGATTTTCTCCTGTGTCGTGGGTGCGTTTACAAACATACAATTTGACATACACATAACGCCCAGACCCGAAACAACAATTGGTTCCGTGCGGGAATTGAACCCGCGGCACGCTGCACGGCAGCCGGTTGCCCAGCCACCGCACCAACCGTGCAGTCATTATAATGAAATTACTTCTACCACATTGAAATAAATGTTTAGCTGTTACTAGAAGCAGTCAGATCTTACATTATCCTAATATTTCCATATATTAGAAAATCAAATAAAATAATTGTCACAAAATTTCCCAATATTACATTCACAGAAATGCGGAAATTACATGGACGAGTGTGAATTACGAAGGATACTGATACTGCTTTCCAAACTTAGCTATAAGCTTGTATTTTGGAAAACAGTAATTCATACGTGGATTATATCACAAAGTCTCATTATATATCGCTCAATAATTAGTAAATGTCACTGCTGTATAGGGAACTGTGATCAAAAACAAAAATAACAAAATGAAAAATTAAAAGGACTACCATTTTTTTATAAAGGAGTTGTGGTCCTCAGATACGGTATCTATATAGCCATAAGATACCTCAGGACCAAGTATCTAAGGACCAGAATTCCTAACATATTATATTATACACGAGTTAGACTATGCTTAAAGTACTTTTCAATTTCTTTTACCCATAAATTCCACCTGTAAATTACTTACCATGTCTATCCCTGTCTCTGTCTCTATTCGTCAAGTCTTTCAGTTCCTTAAGAGCCTTAAGCTCATCGAGGGGACTTTTCGACACTATCAGAGCAGCGTGAACAAAGATAGATCAATTATTTAAGTACATATATCTACTATTAAAGTCATGAAAATATTTTGTTGTTAATGCCGAAGGATGCATAATATATTTATTCGAAATAAATTTTTTAGATTGTGATTTTGAGTTTGGCTTCAAACTTTATCATCAGATTATTATCCCAGAGATCAGGCATGAAATTTAACGTCAGTTATGTATTCTGCATATTATTATATTAATTTAAATTATTCAAAATGTACAAATTTGCATTAAATACAAGAAATAACTTATCAGTGACTTACTTGGCCTTCCATAAAACTTAGTATTGCCGTGCACAGGATGTTCTTCATAATGTGTGAATCCAGGTTCTCCTTTAGGTCCAACGATGGAAACTCCTGGTGGGCCGGGAGGTCCGGGGGGTCCTGGTGGTCCAGGTGGTCCTGGTAAGTACTGGATAGCTTCGGATAGGGATCCAGATTGTCCGGGAGGTCCTGCTGGACCGGGCACGCCTGGTAGACCTGGCAGTCCATCGAAGCCGCGCTCGCCCTTTTCACCTTTGAACTAATGAAACAAGTTTTGTGAATATTATTTTGTGTCTAGTTAAGGTAGTGGGTTTTATTACGTATAGTTTGTAATTTTCAGTTAGTTTATATTAATAATTCCTGACGTTGTAAACCGAAGAACATAAGGTCTATTAAAATATTCAAAGAATTATGTATTAAAACACATATTTTGGTCAGGTAAGCTAAAGAAATATCTACTTTGAAACAACCATGATTATATTAAGCTAGTAATATATTTCATGACACTCAAAATGTGACAAATCTAAGCCAGCACATCACAAAACCTTAAAAATCAGGAAAATCTAAGGAAAAATTGTGCTTAAGTATTCCATTCACGAATCTTCATGTCACGTCAATCTTGTATAATTCATAAGTCGTAATATTTGTAGGAATGTAACAGAACATCGGTTTGGTTACCGACTCAAGAGGTTCGTGAAGGAAAATCTTTTGGTTTACCGTGTATTATTGCCGTTTTCAATAAACTCTCCTATATAATAAGGCATTAGCGACTAGCCCCGGCTTCGCACGGGTGCAATATGCATGTGTTATACATATAAACCTTCCTTAAGAATCAATCTATCTATTAAAAAGCCAAACCAAACCGCATTAAAATCCGTAGCGTAGTTGTAAAGATCTAAGCATACACAGGGACAGACCGATGGCGGATAGCGACTTTGTTTTATACTATGTGGTGATTATTAAGCAAATATAGGTGGCATTTAATAACATTTTGGTTTTGACCTAATGGTTAGGATCTTATCATGTATGGGTGTATTAGGAACGTACTTTCCACATGCATATCATATCTAGACTGAAAATAACAATGGTTTATGGATTATACAAGAATTGTTCTGTGTGGGAATCAAACACTTGACCATGTTACGCAGTAGCTGGTCATATTATGCTAATCGTGCTGTCAAATAAGTTACAAACTTATCTTATCTTATACTATTATATAAAGCGGAAGAGTTTGTTTTTTTGTTTGAACGCGCTAATCTCCGTAACTACAATTCTGATTTGAATAATTCTTTTTGTGTTGAATAGCGCATCTATCGATGATGGCTATAGGCTATAAAGCATCACGCTACGACCAACAGGAGCTGAGCAGAGCGTGTGAAACCGCGCAAAAGTGGCTTGTTAATATATACTAGCTTCTACCACCCACATTTCCATGGGATAAAAAGTAAAGTAACTCTTCCAAATTTCGTCCCCATTCCTTCAACCGTTTTGACACGATCGAATAACAAACAGACAATCTCACTCACAAACTTTTACATTTGTAATAATATTAGTAAGATAATTGTTAACCAATTCCCCATTAGAAAACCTAACCGTTCTTCATCATATCAAAGACATCGTTGTGAAAACCAACGTGACAGTCAATCTTAACGTCCTGTATAATTCATAGGTCAAAATATATAACCGCATAAACATGGCAGAGAGTTCTCTATAAACTCCGAAGTTGTAAGCTTAAGGATGACACAGAAAATCTCAGTTTACGGCGCTACAGGGTGGGAACTTTGTTTTATGGTGTTCCCTCGTCGGGATAATTTCGCTATAAAGAGGTGGAGGTCACAGGAAAAGGTTACCCTTTTTACGCTTAAAAAAAGGTGTTTTTTGATACAAAACAATGGTGGTTTGTATCTTTATTTACATCGCGATACATTGTGTCTCTTTGCAATTTTTTTGTAGTACAGAATCGTGCATCATCATGCCTTGTTATGTTAATGTTTACATCTTATTCTAAGAAGAAACTCAAACGCAAACTCGAAAGCATTTATTTCAATTAAACCATAATTTGGTACTTTTGAAACGTTACCAAATATAGAATAAATAATAGCTTGTCAGCCAGTCCGTCATAGAAGCTAGGCGCTTATTCCAAAATGTAGATTCGAGTTGAGAAGAACGAGTAAGAAACTTCATTCGTTAGTCTCTCTGACATGCTCTCTGCAAGCTCTGACATGGTCAAAAGAGTTATAATAAAATAGCTACTTCCGCGCGGTTTCACTCGCTCTGCTCGCGCCTTTTAATCGTAGCGTGATATTTTATAGCCTTCCTCGATATATTGGCTATCCATCAGAGAAATAATTTTTCAAATCGGACCAGTAGTTTCGGAGATTAGCGCGTTCAAACAAACAAATAAAAAAATAAACTTTATAATATTAGTATAGATATGTATAGTGATACTAATACCCTATTTAACTCGTCGAGTACCGGTTTTGTAGACACAAATAAAGAACAATAGTTTGCGGTCGACGGTGACCGCTTGGTGTTTGACAGTTTAACTCGACAGTTATAGCTTAGACCATGTTTCAGTTACTCAAAATAAAATATTTATGTTCTGTCAAAACTGCATACCTCGACTTTAATTTATATACTCGAAAGAAGCAAAGAGGAAACCAGTCTTTGTTTCATTATTATTATTTTTAAACCACTCATTTTATTATATGCCATTCTTTTTGGGATCCCTGTGTGCCCCAGTGGGTTCGTTAAGCCCGCCTGTCCTCTTGTATGTGATTATATTTACATAACAGCCCCGTAACGGACGTGTACTGAATTTCAAATCAGTCAACACGAACCTTTTTCAGTTTGCTGAAAGATTTTGCGGTTCAAATGTGCGGCGCGGAACCCGTTTTGAAAATGTCACGTGGTTGAAAATACTCTTTTTTAAATTAATTTTAACATATATATACATGATATTGTTTGTTGTGACTGTAATGTTCTA